CTGTCGCCAGTTGGGTCTCCTCCACACCGGAGCACACGGCCTGCTGCCACCGTGGGCACTGCTGCGAATCTGGAAACACCTGCTTCATTGTTTGCTAGTAATAGTTTTGCACATGTGTTGGCTAAAGCTGGATGTAGTTATAATGCAGCAGGTGTGTGGCTCCATTTAAATTTGTGGTGTTTGCAGCGTCATTGTACATTTTGTACTCTTTTTTGATGTGGTTAAATCCTAACCTTCTCTCAAAGGAAAATCTCAGTACTACATTTGACTTTGTACTTATGTTGTTCCATTTTCTTAATGTGACCCCATAGCGTAGTAGCACGGGTATCTTACTAGTAGTCTGGTAAATTTGACTTACTAAAATGAACGGTCAAGGTTGCACCCTTGCAGGAACACCAGAATCAAAGCTAGCTCTAAAGCCTCAAGGGACCACATAATAACCAAAGACACTGTCTATCACCAAAGCATCACATTGTTGCACATAACAAAGCGGAGCATCTAAGTTTAGGGTATACAATGGATCGAGCGGCGCAAATTATGACGCTGATGATTCTGGCTCTTTCCCCTTTCCCCCCTTGTTCACAACCTTTGTACTGTCAGCCGGCGGCACGGTGTTAGGCTCCTTGGTGTAGATGATACAGTCGTCAAGAGTGTAGATCCTGAGAGCGAGCGAGGATAGAGTTGAGGTCTTGATAGCTACTGTGAAGGAGGACCAGTACCACCAATCATTCTTCAAGAACTCGGATTTTATCACTCTCTCCAACATGCTGGTCGCCACTACCATCTGGAAGAGGCATAGAATAGATACGACTAATCAGTACAGACCCTCTCAAGCATTTATTTTGTATGGAGATGATGATGTTAGAGAGCTTTTAATATAATGGACAGGCACAAAAATAATAAACACTAGTCTATATTTTGTGTGGCACAAATTAAGGTGAATAAATAGATGATGAAGTCACCTCGGAGATTGATTCTGCGCGCTTCACAAAAGAACGCCATGAATGCCTTCTCATTTGTTGAGACTTTGAGGCTCTGAAAGCTTCCTCAGGCAACGCTGCTTCTATGTCAAGCAAATTTATCTTTAGTTGCTTCAGGATATAAGAGTTTCTTCCTGTAACCGGCCTCAGTGATGACTCCGGAACCAAGCCACCGTTAACAGCCAGCAATCTTGTTGGCTTGTCTGTTGCAGAAGATGCTGCTTCCTCACAGGAAGTAGTATCAGTATCAGTGGCTGGCTCCTTAGTTTTTGACACATTTTCATCACAGGAAGTAGTAGCTGCAGGACAATCTTGAGCAGAATTGGACCCCTCCTGCCCTAACTTTTGTGCAGACATTGCCTGGCATTCTTCTAAGGAGCTGGAAACACAATCATCATTTGGGATGTCATCTTGCCTTTTGTTTTTATTCAGAATTACTGGAGGATCAATAAAAGCTGCACGTGAAGGGACAAAAGACGGAACTCCGTTTGATCCAATAAGTCCAATATCCTTCACTATCTCCTTGTTTGAATCATTGGTGACAAATTTTCTGCAAATCACTTCAAAGTCATATGGGCATGACTTCATCGGTTTTGTGGACTCAGAGGTGGAGCTACGATGAACAGAATCCTTCTCCTTGTTGACATGTCCATTGCACCTTCCAGCATGCTCTTCATACTCAGTTGACGTAAAGTAAGTTTCGTGACATGCTATGCAGTGGCGCCGAGCAGGCCGTATAGGCTCCAAGCAGTCACAGCGACATGTTTTCTCCAAAATTGCTGCAGCCTTGGTACCGGGAAGTTCCATAAGCTGCTGCTCGCTGCCGTTCGACGACCCCTTGGATGATACTGGAGGATCACTGAGAACGAAATTACCCAGCTGGTGATGAAGATGCCTCTGCCGCTGCCACTGCCACTGCTGGATAGCACGTTTCAGCTCCTTCTCCCTTGGATCGTATTCCCTTAGCCAGTCAACAAGGCCACGGATTTCTTCATCCGATTCATAAACAACGACAGATGCAGAATTCCACCCTTTACAATCAGAAGTAGATGGTGGGTCCCTCTCCTTGCTTATCAGCATGCTTCCATCAGCGACCAGTAAAGGACGTTTACCAGATCGTCCTAACACCCAGTACAGTCGACCCAAGGAATCCTTTCCCAGAAAATCTCTTCTCAGGGATGCCATATTAAGCTCTGACTCTACTGTGCCAATTGACTCCTGCACTTTTGAAATCTGGTCCGATAAAGTATCCATTTCACCATATGAAGTCCTCATTTCCTCCTTATCTTTCAAATCCTTCAATTCATAATTCAAAGCATAAAACTTCTTCTGGAGATCATTGAACTTATCTGGACATTTTTCTATATGTTGTCTTATCAGGACTGTGTTGAGCATTTCATCACAAAGAAATTTCAGCATATCTATTCTCTGCATTTTGAAGATAAATGTTAGACAATGTAGGTTGTCACTTTGTCCACTATGAAAATACCGTAAAATACTATTAGGCATACCGTAAAATACTAGAGAAAAGATGATTTGGCCAAGTAAAATCATATAAAGGAATACAGCGAAATATGCAATACACAAAGGACTAAAACTTCCAAACACTAAATAGTAGAGATATCTACTTGAAAGTTGAAACATAGAAGAGAAAACCATACCTCTTGTGTGCTAAGCTCCCAGTACTCCTTTTGTGCCACTGCTGGAGCTAACTTAATAAGCATGTCATGATAGGGTCCTTTCCGTTGTGGTTTCAAATCCTGAACAGAATGGTCAAGATGTGATTTCCTTTGAGCTGACATGCATGATGGTTTTCGGTGAAATGCACGAGACTTTGCTCCTTTTCGTTGTCGCTTAAAATCCTGAGCGCCCTGGTCAAGATGTGATCTCTCTGGCTTTAACATGCATGATGGGCAGAACCAGTCTCCTAGTGGTATACAAGCTAGTGGTGGATTCAGGCAATAAGTATGGTACTCCGCGTCGCAGTCATCACACAAGAGAACAATGTGGTCGTCTCTATCAATGCCACATACTTTGCAAATACCATACTCCCATGGAGCTTTAGGTAATTTGGTCGTTGCTGTCAGAATATCCTGTAGCTCCCTATGGATTTCTGAACCAGTATTCTCACTAGACAGGTAGCAATCAAATTTCCGAACAAGGTCGAGCACCTGCACCAGTCATGTAAAAAGAACAGGAAGCCAAAAGGTTCACTTAAATCCTTGGAAATAACATAACTTAGTAAACAGGAAATTTAACAGTAAGCTAATACTCCCTCCGTCCCAAAATAAGTGTCTCAAGCTTAGTACAACTTTGTACTAGAGTTAGTACAAAGTTAAGACACTTATTTTGGGACGGAGGGAGTATATACTCAAATCAGCATAGGTAATCCCAATGAGATGGTATAGAGCTAACTAAGTGACCCATTTCTTTTTCTATTTGCAATATTATCTTGATCAAACAACAAGGAAATACGGAGCATGGATTGATGTTCTGCAATCAAAAGACACAATTTGCTAAAAATGTCCTTAATTTAACCAGCTGAAAAGTAGGTGTTCAAAGCAGTAAACTACCATACAGAAAGGGATAACAAACCTCTGTCTTATGTAGTTCAAAAATCTTAGAGAATTCTAGTACCATTTCCATTAGATCCGTTCGATTGTTATTACCTGCAGGTAAACACAACAGATCAGCAAATTTTCTAGTTTGTGCACAAGCTAACTGTTAGCTTGATTTTCTAGTTTCAGCATACTATCTATTACAACTCCTTTGCTGATTGAACAGTTAGCACAAGCTAACGCGACTGGAGCATTTGCAGGCATATGAAGTCATCCATGGAAAATCTGAGAAAATATCCCATGCGTATGACCATAGCATTATATAAAAAGGGTGTTAGAATGTACCTCTTGCACATCCTCAAAAAATGTCTCCCAAGATCCACAGTAAGCTCCTATAGCCAACCTTATATCAATTGTGCGGAAGTCCAAAGGGCGTGGCACCATACCAGAAAATCCAAGGATGCCCTCATCCTCATCCTCATTAGAGTTCACTAGAATAGTTCCAAGCAGATTCCCCAAAATCTTATATTCATCGGGAAATGGCATGGCGCAGAGCAATACGACACTTCTTCAAGATAACCTCTGAGATGGAAATAGTTTCCCTTTCATTTCTTGGTTTTTCAGGTTTTTGTGGCACTGTTACACGGCATGCCTCTGACAACACAGATAAAACAGCTTTCTGTCACAAGGAAAGAAAAACTTTTAGTGTATTTTTCAAATAGTCCCCTAGTCACAAATGTCCTCAAAATAAAAGATAGAGAAAAGTATCATGGCAACGAATAAGTCTAATAAGGCAGCAACAGAATACATTTCACAACATAAGCATGGCCATGCTATGCACTGATTTCTCTCTTTTATATAGTAAAACTTTGGTTAAACTGCGATGCTGACAGCAAGTTCATGTTAACCGAAGTTTCCTGCTCAGGCTAAATAAACAAAAACATGTAAATACAAAATACATCATCTGACTGGTTTAAAGGTTTCAAACAAAATTCTACAACCATTCTTGTCATCGTTTTAAAGGGATACAATACTTCATCACATAAAACAGTAAAACAAAAGATGTGTTAGGGGAACTAGAAAACGGAATTTATGCATTTGTATTGACGGCCAAGGGCAAAATACATGAGTTGTAATCTAGAACGCAACCCACACAACAAACGGTACTAAAACATAAACTAATACAAACTCATACTTTTATTTTTGCAACTCGTTACTTCTTAATTAAGAGAAAAACACCATAAGTATTGCAGCTCGATCTATTAATAAAAAGGTTTTTGTAAGGGCCTGAGATCAGGTCAAAGCCAGAAAAAGGAAATTAAACGCAGTATGGAATAGCGAGAATACAATGACTGCAGCCTGCAGGAGCATTACTAACCTTGGTTCGTCCAGATGCATTAGCCTTGTAGACCTCTTTACTTATCGAATGTTCCAAAATTTTCCTTGCCCATTCTGGTGGTTTTCAGTCCAAAGCTTCATAAACACAATTTCTAATTCTCGTTCCCACATTTGTCGGTAATTTTCTCACAGGCTCTAGTACTTCTGCCCAATCTGGCAATGTTCTATTATCAGCAATAGGCAACTCAGCAGAATACTTGTAATCCATCATAAAAACCTTGTTTCCTTCACTTGATAGAGAACTGCATATCAAATTCTCCGCCTCCAGAAGCAGCTGAAAATACAATACAATAATTACAGTGCAGCAAAAATACACATAGAAGTTACCATCGTCTAAAATAAGAACACAGGAAATTTATAATATCTCTTAGTGGGCGAACAAAAAACTGTAGATAAATCATACAACAAACGTAACACAACATCCTTATAAATTATATTTGATAATCTCAAAATATCACACAGCTGGACAAGAAATCAATGTAGTCAAGATATCTCCAGCCAAATAAGCAAAAACAAGAATCTTGTAACCCAGAAAATCAAGATTTTTTCCTAAACAAGAATCTTGTCAACACCTCAAATACAACAGGGGTTCCTTCCCTCATGGAAACAACATATAAACATACTATTATGAAGAGTTAATGCGGATAATATAATTGTACAGGGTGGCAATCAAAAAGAATATTAATAAATAGAAATAAAAAGTTGAGGAAAAATCTAAAAACAGATAGCAAATAACCATAGCATACAGCAAGCTAAATACTACAACTCATGTCTGATTGAAGAAGGAAAGGAAGGCATGATCCAAATGAATCACAAGGTTCAGCTAATTGTAGAAGTAAAATGCTTACCAGGGCATCCTTCTCCATGCCGGCAACCCCAGGTACTGCTCCACACAGTATGCCACCATCACCGTGTAGGCAGCGGAATAACTTCACCCCTTCTCGACTGGAAATATCAGGCACATCCATGCATCCATTTATGGATGAAATAGCTGACATATACCTTCTAGTCAACTCTGGCCAAGTCAACTTGTTAGCAGTTAGCATATCAAAGTTAAATTCCTTTGTTGAAACAAGGCTCTCAGTGTCCTTCTTTCTTCCGCGCCTGGGTTTTGATTCTTTGGGGTCAATGTTCAGCTTTGATAATACCTCACCAAAAAGAACCTTAATGAGTGCAAGATGAACCCCTGGCAATATTGTACCAGTGCACCTCCCAAGTGTCTGGGCTGCCAATTTATCTAGACGAGCTTCCTTCATAGAGGAAGTTTCAACAGGAATAAATACAGACACAGTCTCTTCATTATTGGAGAGACCAGATTCACTATTTGAATGTGGTATAGAAGAATTTGCAGGGGAATTCATTGGTGAAGAGTAGTCCCTACATTGTTGAATGCCCTTTGACAATGTTTCTTCCTGACTTGCACAAATTGGCCATGGGTCAGCAAGTTCATCCTCTAATTGTTCATATGAAGGCACTTCTTTGAGATCAATGATTTCACCAAAGCGCCCCAAGAACTCCCATATCTGCAAGAAAATTTCAATGAGAAGATGGATGCAAGAATAAAAAGGAAAGGCACAACTTTGTAAAATGTGTTTCTTCGGATAGCAGAAACAGTGACAGATATGTATAGAGCTACCTGGAGAACATCTGCCGCCGATTCTGGTTGAAGCTTACGGCTAGTAGGACGTCCCAGAGGTAGCTTGCGGATGCTAGAACCGCTGGGTTGAGCATCATCATGTAGCCCAGTCACCGCACCATGTCTACCATATGGCGTATCTACATTACTTTGACCATCTTTATGCACAGATAAAAGTAAACCACTTGCAACTGTCACAGAAGAATGAAATTCTGTCCTATTGCACAAGAACTGGTAGTTTATGCAAGACCTGGATCTAGGAAGAGACTCCACAATTTCTTGAACAAATTCCAAATCAAGCCCAATTCTATCATGGTATAGCCAATGCTTCAGTAATGTATAAGTAGCTTCCACATCATTCTTCTTTTCTGTAACTCGTGGTATACTGGGGCCATTGGATGAGCAAAATCTAGTTAAGGGAGCGTAAGGACCATCAAAGTTCTGACATCCACTCCCCTTGTTTAACAAATGATTTTCGCTGTTGTGTGTGCATGAGAATACCAAATGCCCATGTTCCTTGTACATTTTTTCACAAGCTTCCACCATAGCAGAAGAAATCATCCCCCATACTGAAGAGGATGATGTTCCCTCAAATGTAAACTCACCAATTTGGTCATTAATATTTGCTTCTTTACTTGGTGGAACATTCTCAGAATTTGAAGGTAGTATTTGTGACATCATATTTGAACTCTGTACATCATTGCAATCCAAAGAAGTCCTTTTATCCTCCGTATCATTGGTAAGACATGATAGGAAATCTTGGTTGGTCTCAGAGGGAATATCCATCATCATATAAAGATCATCATCCATATCATTAGCAGTATCTCCAATAAAACTGCTACTTTCCTTTGTTTCAGCGGCCTTTCTTGCACCATTATGGGAGAGAATGGTCGATGCTTCTGGAAGGGGGAACACTGAACATGGTAACCTTCTGACCTTAAACAAAGGTGCAAAACTCCCTCCATCACACACCTCACACTCAAACAGTGAACCAGTGACTCTATCATGCCAGTAAGATGTAAAACCCACTGGCCATATCTGATGGCAATTGTGGTAGCTTGCCTGTTTATCGATTTCTCCCAAGCTAGTTATAAAGAAATCCTGATATTGAACAGGTAGGCCAACCTAGAGTAACAACAAAAAAAAGCAGTGTTATCAAAATCAGCGCCAAAGTGAACATAAGATAAAAGAACTGCAGTATAAGAATACAAAGGCTGTAGCATGGGAAACAATAACATCTAAAATGAACACTGGATGAAGAAACAGAATCTGAAACAGGTAATGAGATACTCACACTGCCATGATGTGCTTGATGGTTGCAATTTTCCGCAAGAAATTTTGGAGGCTTTGGTTGATTTCTTTCTTCCTTACAACTCGGGTCTGTTGCTTTCGTAAAAAATGATGGCTCCATAAAAGTACTAGAACTTCCAAACTCGTGCTTCTCAGAAAACTTGCGAAATGCTGATTTTTGTGGAAAATCTCTTCTCCTGCAATATGTATGATTTGAGCTCCGTTCTATGTTTCCATCAGCAATGAAGTTTTGATCCACAGGAGGAAATTGCTGTCTCATGTTAAAGCAATGAGGAAGACCAGATGCTGGCATAAAGTGATTCCCATCTGCAACATGATTGCCAGAAGTGGATTATTATAAGATGCACCACCAATGATGGTCAATAGTTACTTTAGAGACCAGACGGCTATAACTTCAAAACGATTTATGGATAAACACATAGTACGCCTAAGAGGCCACGCATATATGCACTAAACATGGGGGCAAGCAAATTGATGGTTAGGACAACAAATTGCTGTCTAAAAAGTTACAGTGCATAAAAGGCGTGGAAAATATCCAACAAAAAGCAAATACATCTCTCTTGCAGTACATATGATTGCTCTAACATCCTTGCCATAAGGAGTTGTATTATTCAACTGCAGCCCCTCAAAATGTGGAGTAGCCACTTCAGTCAAATGAGCTCCATCAGCAACTCGTACTCTGCGAGGAGGACCAAAACAAAATATTAACTTTCTTGTGATGATAATGTCTGTACAACAAAGGTTACTAGAAAACTTCCTATAACATATCTGATATTATTATTTCAGAGCACCCCTAAACAGTCCAGTTTATAAAGTTTATCGCTAAATAGCTGCCACAAGTTACTTATAGTTTCACTTTTCTTTGCAAAAAGCAGAATTTCAACAAATCAGAAGTTTCTTTTTCCTTCGAACAGATCTTTCAAGAGTAATCAAAACAATAACCACTTTACAATTAAACAGCGAGCATCATGTACAATAATGAAAGCACTGTGTAACACAATGAACCAGCTATAGAAAATGCAAGCATGCTTTCAGCGCTTATTCTCTTCAGCATAGCACATAAAAGTAGTCTAAATCAATGAAAGGACAATAATGATCTGATTGTTCTACAATTTAGTTTGCACACTAACCACTTTACAAGGACAACTTGATTAGGAAAATTCAACTCCAACCTATTCAACTGCTATGGTTATAAGCTTCTTAACACACTGATATGCAAGGACAACTTGATTAGGAAAATTCAACTCCATAATAATCACTAAAGGTACAGAATAACAATCATCAACATAACTAAACATTGTACAGAAGGATGGTGGGCTGAAAATAGAAATAGTTAGCTTCAAATCATGTTTGATTTTGAAGTTATACTGCGGTTATGTAGTCGTCTGCAGCAGTTTCACAACCATCATGTGGATTTAAGAAGATTAAAAGATCTGCTAAAGGAAACAATGAACACTGGGACAACTTTGTCCATGAACTCAAGAGAAAGGTTCACCAAATAATATGTGACTAGAATTTTACCATCAAAATAGACCAAACAAGGTGTGGAAATTGTACAGAATCTATGCATGTATAGAACTAATAGCCAGGAATAAATAAAGCAAACTTTGATGTTTGTTAGTGACTTCAGCGTAGGCATGGTCTGATGCAGGTAAAACACTTAACAGAATTCCAAATGTTCAAAATTCTAGAACTCGGAGCCCTCCCCCGCCACCTCCTCCAAGGAGAAAGACTTGTCTGTATATAAAAAAATAAAGTAGAACAATTTGGTATAGGGACACCTGGTTGAGCGATTTTTGTAAGTACATAGGCCATTCTCTTTATGTGGATCTAAATGTGATATCAAAATAGGTAGACAAGAAATTGCAAAAAGGGGCATGTGTGAGGGTTGATGATCGAAGGCATAGAATGTTACTTTCCGAATGACATTCTTTCTCTATAAATTTAGTGTGATATCTTTTCAAAATATAAGAACCAAGCAATCTGACATGTGATCATGATCCAGTCTCCAAAGGAGACCATCCTTCCAATATTTATGGAATAACACAACCAGAATAGGAAAGGACTAAAACCATAACATCAGTGCACTCTAACCTACACTTCAGGTCAGGTCAGAATCACTAAGCAGTGCATGTTTTCACAAATGCTTGCATAATCTTATATGATGTATATGATATTGAAATGCTTTAATAAAGGAAAGGCATCATTTGCTAACAGTTGGGTAAAATGCATATGAACTGATCAGGAAAATTTGCAGCCATGTGAGAGTTGTCATGTTAAAAGAAGAATAGAATAGATGATTAGTGGGTTTTCAATACATAACATGGTTAATGGATGCCCCTTCTACCTTAACAGAAATATGTTTCATATAATTTATGCCTGCCTATTATTTTTACTTTTATTCAACATCTTTATTCCTCACTAAGGATGTGCACATGGTTGTAATATTCCAAGATTATAAAATACACAGGGGCAGACCCCAGGATTAACAAGCCTGGCAGGAAACCCAACAGTTTTCAGTGAGAAAGGAAATCATGGTAATATCTGACCCAAAATAAATTTCCATACTAGTATTTGAAATCCGAATTCATAATGCAAAACATTAGAGCTAAAGTTTTGTCGTCAAAGTGCATGCTCCAATTTGACAATAAAAACAGTCACCAAAATTTCATAGTACCACCAAGCAGCATGTTCTTTAGAAATTTTGACCCCGGTGGAGTCACATTACATTTGGTGCCCACGCTGGCACTCAAATTTGCCCCCCCCCCACACACGCACACACCAGAATCGAGGAAAGGATGACTACACCAGGCTGAGGAAACAGCAGACATGACCGAGGTGGTGTAGTCCATGCAATTGATGTTCGCCAATCCATATTAGGAACTACTTTGGAGAGATACTGCATTATACTCTTCTCCACAAGAATTAAACAAAAGAAAAAACCAAGCCGGTCATGTAGAGAGCCCAATTACTGGATGCCCAACTCCATCCCCACAGAACTCTCTGGGCACAGGACTGGAAACATGAAGGATACTATCCGAGCGATCCTAAGTCAGATCCAGTAGTGAGCCATTCAAGAAGGCATTTCAATATCCAGCAGAATCCAGTGTAGTATGATTTGGTTATTTCACCCCAGAACAAATTTGTATCCAGAAAAGGCAGTTTCTACCGTGAGAATTCATAAAGTTGACCATGTATTGAACGGTCAGCCAAAAATGACCATAGTCCAACAAAAAAAAATAGGGAGCTACAAGATTTAGCACCGCCCTTCTCCAGATTAAAGCGTGCTATATTAGAAAATAGTGTTTTGCATAATAAATGTTAAATATATCCCAAAAATGTTAAATATGAGGCATAATCTATTGGAGTGGAAGCACAAAGTCAGCCAGTGCCATCGATCCAATTTTAAACTTTAGTTTGAACCGCCCCCTCTCTTCCCTATTTTCTCTCCATCCCCTGCAGACCGGAAGTGACCACGACACCGGCTCGATTCGTCGAGCCGGCAGTCAGATCCGCCAGGCCCGTCCTAGGATTCGTCGGCCCCGACGTCCCCTGGACCGCGTGGTCCCCATCTCCTCCACGGCCACACCCCCTCGTCTCCTTCCCGTGGCAGATGCATCAAGAGGAGGAGGAGCACGCGCATGCGCATGAGCAAGCAGCAGGAGGAGGAGCTCAGCGAGGTGGAACCGTGGAAGCACTAGAGGAAAGTGTTACCTGGTGGTTGACTTGCCGCCGTTGCCGATGGCGTGGCTGACATCACCCCTTCCGGTGTTGGCTGGAGTCGAGCTGGAGATAGCCGCCGCTGTTGCCCCTCATGAGAAGACGCCGCCGCCGCCGCTCAAAGCTCGGGTGGGAACAGGGAAGGGGGAATGCGAACTAGGGTATCATTGCCTCATTGGTTAGGTCTGACACTGAGAATGAGAGGGGTATGGGCCGTCGCCCGCCAAGGGGTGTTTTTGGGCCGTTGGGCTATTGTTTTCTCTGTTTCAGATTTTTGCATGACGCTACAACACTATAACACTACAACTTCTACCTCGGAAATAGCGCGCTATTATGCGATTAGCACCATAGATGCCAAATTTTGTATTGTTTATTGCCAGAATACCATAATGCCGGCTATGACTCTCTTTAGATGAGAATCATCTTCTCCAGTGAGCATCAAAGTTTGGCGAGGGCTTTCGAGGTGGAGAAAAAGCTAACTAGCCAAGAGAGGGAGGACTTAGGCTATAACAGTGCCTCTAACAATAATCGAAGGGCCTCCCACTGCTCCAACATCCTTCTTTGCCACAAATGAATGTAGTCAACCTTCATTTCTAGGCATCAAACACATTGTACATGGATCAACATTGTGGCGTCGTCAACAACCTAACTTGGAAAGATATCAGTCTACAAAACAGAGAAGAGATAATTAGGCAGCTAACCAAGGATCCCTCAATCCTAGGGATTGGTTGCAGTTCATGACATGAGATGGAAGGTGGAAAAAAAGTCCAGGATCATGAGCTAGCACTCACCAAGAAACCAGTAGCAATGTATAGTGAGGTGAAATGCTCACACCAAGCACGAGTGGCTTACTTAAAGCCATAAAGAGAGCGACGAAGATGACATACCATGTCGTCAAGAACAAAATACACTGATGGTGGCTGTATACAGACCTCGCACAACTCACCATGCATTAAGAAATGCATTCTTGACATCAAGTTGAGAGACAAACTAGTGGCAAACACAAGCCATGACAAGGATGCGAACTGTGGTCATGTGGGCCACATAAGAAAATGTGTCGCCATAGTCACGACCATGCTCGTGATGAAAGCCACGAGCAATAAGACGAGCCTTGTAGCACTCAAGAGAACCATCACAACGAGTCTTAACCTTGTAGACCCACTTACAACTGATGGGAGTGTGTGGGCAGGCCAAAAGAGCACGGGTTGGGTGGAGGACCAACGGCACACGAGAGTGGCTTTCCATCACACGCGATCGAGAGGAGTGTCTACTGAGTGAACCTGATTGGAGCGAGACAGGCAACGGTTGCGAATCTAGGCAATGCGAATGTGCCTAGGAGCATGGGAGCGAATCTAGGCAATGCGAATGTGCCTCAACGGCGGGATTAAGATGGTGGTGAGAGGAGACTGAGAGGAAAAGTCGAGTAGAGAAGACCAGAAAGAAAGATCAGGAGGGAGACGAGTTGCGGCTTTTGGAGTAAATATTGAATCCCTAAACCTAACTTCTGGCACCATGCGAGGAACTATGCAATTTGTATTTCCATGAGGCCATAGGTTGTGGCCCCATAATGCAACAGAACTAAGAGATGATATTGTGGTTACCCACATGTGAGGGGAATGTGATTTGTATAATTACCGAACTGGACCTTTTTAGAATCCAATGTATAGATAGGATATGGTAAGAGTTTTTTTTACATCTATACACACTATCTACGCTGATTTCATACCCAACACACTAGATATATTATTCATAATATCCGATGATATTAGGATTTTGGAGTTTTTTAGCAAGATTATCCAACCCTCTTAAATGGGATAATGCGAATAGAACTTCAATAAATTTTTTTTTCATATAGATGTTACTTATTTATGACATGGTGTGCTTGACTCCTAATGTTTTACTTGTGGAAGTTTGCCGCCTTCTAGAGTTAATTATGTGCTTCTAGCTGTTACATATCAC